CCTGCTGCTAACGCTGCTGCTGCTGCCACCGTTGCCGTTGCGGGGTCGGCTGCGAGGTTTCCAGCAGCAGTTGCTGCTGCGTGCACTGCAGCAGCGAATTCCTCTCCTGCTGCTGCTGCTGCTGCTGCTGCCGCTCGTGCTGCTGACGCCTCATATGGACAAGCAGACAGCAGCACCTTGAGGGCCTCCTCGGTCAGCCGCTGCAGAGCAGCAGCAGCAGCAGCAGCAAGTGCAGCAGCAGCAAATGCAGCAGCACCAGCAGCAACTACAGCAGCAGCAGATGCTGCAGCAGCCGCATTAGCAAAGAAATTCCCTACTCGGACACCCCGCCAACCTTCCAGCTACACGCCGGGAAACCCGTCGTCGAAGGGTTTAGGGTTTAGGGTTTAGGGTTTAGGGTTTACCGGGGAGGGTCCCAAGAGAACTAAAACCTGCTGCGTCTCTTTTATTGTTTTGCATCTTTTTAAATGAGCCAAAGACAAGCAGCGGCGCCACTCTGGCTCGTAGACTCCGAGTTGCTGCTGCTGCTGCTGCAGCAGCTGCTGCTGCAGCTGCAGCTGCTGCTGCTGCTGCACGACGGGCCAAAACGCAGCCTGCTGCACAGGCTCAGATAAGGGGGCCTCCTTGTTGAGGGTTTGAATTGCTGCTGCTGCTGCTGCAGCAGGCAGCAGCAAAGTGAAGCAAAGAGAAGTCGGGGGGGAATTCATAAAAAAGATGTCCTCACAGGACTCAATAAACACGGGGCCCCCCATATTCTGCTGCTGCTGCTGCTGCTTTGCTGTTGTGCTGCTGCTGCTGCTGTGCTGCCGCTGCTGCTGCTGCTGCTGCTGCTGTGCTGCCGCTGCTGCTGCTGCTGCTGCTGCTGTGCTGCCGCTGCTGCTGCTGCTGCTCCTGTGGTGCCGCTGCTGCTGTTGCTGCTCCTGTGCTGCTGCTGTGTTGCTGCTGTAGTGCTGGGGCTGCTGCTGTGCAGCTACAGCTGCCGCTGCTGTTGCTGTGGTGCTGCTGCTGTTGCTGCGCCTGCTGCTGCTGTGCTGCTTCTGCTGCAAGTCATGGGAGGTCGAAGTGCAGCGCGTGGGCAAAGATAATCTTGCGATATACCATTGCTCAGCCAAACCCTAAACCCTAAACCCTAAACCCTAGGCTAGCCTTCGGGGCCCCAATGTACTGCGCAATCGATTTGGGCTGCGCTTGCCCAGATGAGCGCGCACCCAATACCCTAAACCCTAAACCCTAAACCCTAAACCCTAATATGCTAATTAGGGTTAAATCTTCGCATTAACAACGCAGAAAACTAGGGGGCCCTCTGCTGCTGTGGGGCCCCTGCTGCTGCTGTGGGTCCCCTGCTGCTGTGGGGCCCCTCAGAGCCTTTGCAGCTGCTGCTGTTAAGTCTATACTTTGAAATCTTCTGCTGCTGAGTTGAATGTGTTCTTAAGTAGACGCAGCAGCAGCAGCAATAGCAGCAGCAGCAGCAGCAATAAAGACAGCAGCAGCAGAACCACTGGGCCGCCCCTGCTGCTGCTCTGTCCCAACAGCTGCGGCCCTCTAGATCTTCAGCAACAGCAGCAGCTGTTTTTGGATCAGCTGCAGCAGCAGCAGCAAGAAGAACACGGGCAGCAGGAGCAGCGGCAACAGCAGCAGCAGCAGCGACAGCGGCAGTAATAGGGACGGCAGCGGCAGCAGTAGCAGCACCTGCGACAGCAGCAGCAGCAGCAGCATCGAAAGCAGCAAGGAGACCAGCCCGGTCAGCAGCGGCAGCCTCCGCAAGAGCAGCAGTAGCAGCAGCTGCCGCACCAGCAGCAACAGCAAGAGCAACAGCAACATCAACAGCAGCAGCGGCAGCAGGATGGCGGGCCCTGCAGCAGCAGCAGCAGCAGCAGCAGCAGAATCGCGGAAGCGGAAAGCTGCAGATACACCTGAAGTCTCCGAACTTGTGATGCAGTTTTATAACCAAAAAGAAGAACCCGTTGGCTGCCAGTTTTCAGTGCCCCTTGCGTGCGTCCCAAACCCTAAACCCTAAACCCTAAACCCTAAACCCTAAGCGCCAAACCCTAGGCGCGGGCTGTCTTCTGCAGTGTGAGGTGGCTGGCGGCAGGGGGGAGCCCGAGAGGGCTGGGGCTCACC